GTTGATGCATGAGGATCTCAGAAAGCAGTGTCTGGCCTTGTACCATGGGGTCCCAAGGCAAGGATATGGTTTTCCTCATATATTTATCCATGGGTCTAGTACACATCCTCCACACAGTAAGTGCTCAATAAGCTTTCTGGGTGGATTACATGCAGGAACAGATGAACAAGTAACAGAGAAGGTGGCTTTAGAGACAAATTCTGACAGTAAAGGTGAAAGTAGCCAGAGGTACTCCTCAGAGGACACACAGACCAAACTCATTCCGCACTTGGCCCAGAGCAGGCTTAGAGCTTTCTTCACTTGAGTTTCCCTTAGATTTCTCCAGGGACCATGAGGGCAGAAAGTTTTTATGATTTTTTTTAAGTGCTGGGGAAACAAAGCCACAATGAGCAGTGTGCCGATGAAGTACTTCTCTGCCTCTTGTTAAAGAGAGGGTAGCCAATGAATACATGTGTGGTTGTGTGTGTCTTGCTCGCTGGCAAAGTGGTCACACTGGACTCTGGAGGCATCACCTCCACGGTACAGCACCAACTTCCAGGGACATCTGTGCCTGCAGCATGCGGATCTCCACTAGGGGTCTCCAGCAGCTGGCGATTGGCAGAGGCAGTTGGGTTTGCAGGCGGCCTCTCTTTGTCTGCACCCCAGGTGTGGACTCTTTGTTCCCTAGCTGGGCTGCTACCTGCCCTGAGAGCCAGCTGGGTGCTCAGGGTACCTTCTGAGGCCACCGAGGGCTGCCAGCATCTGCCGCCAGTTCGCTTCCTGCTGTCTGAGAAGAGCCAGTGTTTTCTAGCAGGGGTAGGTATCTTGTATAGGAAACAGGGCTTGAACTAAAACGGGAAATTGATGTTGATGATGAGGAATTGACGGCAAAGGGGCCACTTCTCAGGCCAGAGTAATTTGCCATAAAATATTTAAAGCCGCTTGACGAACAGCTCCACAATTCTCCCGTGCACGCCAACCACTGGATTTATCTTGGAAGTAAGGAATATTTCATTCTGTGTTTAGCGCAGGGAAAGGGAATGACCTTTTCTGAGAAACACACCAAAGGATTGCTAAGGGCAGCTCCACATGCTGGGACATTCACCCTGCGGTATCTTCTGTCTGCCTTCAAACTTCAAAGGAGCGCTAAAATAAAATAACAGATTACAGTAATGTAAGAGCACCCTGTAAACAACAAATTACAGGAGTTGTAACAGTCCCTGCTGATGGAGAGGCAGGGCACAGACTGTAAACATTTACGTCATCAGATGTGGCTCTTTGGCTTTCCCCATCTCAGTTTGCCTTGTTACAGGCTGGGGTGTCTCATAAGCCTTTCTCCTGCCCTTTTGTGGCCCAGAGGTGTTACTCATCACTCAGTGGTCACAGCCATAGGGGCAAAAAGTCATTCAATTCATTGCTCATGTATTCAGAAGATATCTCTTGATGACCTACTGTGGGCACAGCACGGTGAATTACACAAAGGCTGGATAAACAACATCCAGCTTCCTTTCCTACCCCTTCCAAAAAAGCTTTGAAAGACAGGGGGGAGAAAATTGTCCTTACACCCAGCATTACCATTAAGGCAAGGTGGAACTGCCCAGAAGGAGGTGCAGCAGGCTGGGAGCATTCCACAGAAGAGCTGTCTGGGAAGTGAGAAGTTTCTCTGGACAAAGTGCATTCTGGCTGAACTTTCACCATGGCACCATGGGACAGCTGGGAGGACCTGGACAGGGACCAGTGCTGAGAGCTCCAGGGTACACAGGGCACAGTGATAAGAGGTCACAGCTGAGGAGAGGACAGGAAGTAAGGTGAGAAAGGGAAGCAGGAAGTTTTTAAGGTGGGGGCCTGTTCAGAGGCCTGGGCTCCACACCTGGTAACTTCATGAATTTCTGATTTGGTGATAAAAATCTATAATAAAATTATAGCTAGGGGCTGTAAATAAGATAGCTCAGTAGGTAAGGACATTTGTCCCCAAGCCTGAGGACTGGGGTCTGAGTTCAATTCCTGGATCTACATGGTAGAAGGAGAAAACTTGACTCCTGTAACTTGTTCTCATGTGCAAGCATGTATGTGGACACACACACACACACACACACACACACACACACGTATACACACACATGCATACACATATAAATACACATGCATGCATATACATATAGACATGTATACACAAATACACACATGCATACACATGTACAGGCATACATACCAAATCCATATGAATAATGCAGAAGTAGGTGAGTGCTAAGTTAAAGCAACATGGCAATTTTAAATTCTGTGTCAGGACCACATTGACAAAGCCTCCTTTTCCCCTGCATCTTTTATCATCTGGAGGAAGATACAGTATCTAAGAAGATTGCACCAGGTCACATTAGAATTTAACAAATCTCAGATCTTCATGGCATCAATATTCTCATTTCATTGGCAACCAAGATTTTGTAATGTCATTCAGAAGTGGATAAAATGCATGAATGAAGATTGTTTCACTGGGGGAAACGTGTCAGAAGGCCCACCAGCGGCTCCTGCACCTACTGACAAAGAGACTGAGCACTTTGCTTCGGCGCCTGCCTGTGAATTTATGGTATGAAACATCCAGTAGGGAGCCCCAAGCCCCTTGGCCTTTGAACTGGAGAAAGCAGATCTTGATCACGAGCACCTAAGCCTGCTGAGTTTTCTCTGCTGATTAAGCTTCACAGTCCCAAGGAGCCATCCGCTTTCAATGTCAGCCCAGAAACTGGTACTTTATCCTTCTGAAGAACAGACTCTGGGCTTACCATTCACCTCCTACCACAAGTGGGGCCTCACTTAAGAATCTCTGTCTTCTACTTTCGTACTGGACAGGGTTACTGGGCGGTGCCTTCACAGTGAAAGCCCCTCCATCCCTTCATCTGTTTGGAGTATAATAACTTGTTCACTGGGTCATACTTTGCTTTCTTAAAAATATTCATTTATTTTATTATTTTACCTATATGAGTGTCTTGTCTGCAAGTCTGCATGTGTACCACATGGGTTTCTGGTACCCACAGAGGTCAGAAGAGGGTGTTGGAACACCTAAAACTGGAGTAAAGATGTTTGTGAGCCACCATGTAGATGCTAGGCTCCGAACCCAGGTCCTCCACAAGAGCAACAGGTGCTCTTAATGCTGAGCCAACTCTCCAGCCCACACACTTTGCTCTTGTTACTAAAGTTCTGTGAAGGCAAATATTATAATCTGCACAAATAGAACCAGATATTCTGTGAGATTTACAATAAAGAATGAAGCCAACACTTAATGCTCCATTTGGGACATAAGAGACAGTCTTTGGGCTACAAATGAGGCATTTCCCCACTGGTTAGCGATCTCCAGGAGAGAAAGCAAACATTGTTCAAACCATTGATTCCATATATCAGGTGAACAACTTACAACCTCTCCTGGAACACAGTCTTTAGGCCTGGTACAATAAGGCTCCAGACCTAGTATCTTTTTTTTTTTTTTTTTTTTTTTTTTTTTTAACGCTTAACAACACTCCATATTATCTACCAGTAAAAGAAGTGGAGAAACAGCCTGAATCCAAGACATTTGCTGACATCCTAGAACCATAGTTGGAACCCAGATGCTTGTTTTCTTTGAAGCCCAGGTAGCAACAGTCCTGTCTAGGGATGTAGCCATGTCCATCATCTAAAGATCTGGGCGACTTCATCAACTGCTAGCCCAGTAACTAAATGTTATGTTGTGTCTTGAACTAGGGGCATCCAGGAAGTTCTGTTCTCACAGAAAGGTCAAGGGTATGCTGGGCAGGTGTGTGTCCCTATAGGGCTCCAGATGAGGTCACACCATGGTTGCCATGCCCACCCAGAGTAGGTGGGAATGGTGCGACTTGGCAGCATCAGGATTCAGTTTACCCAGACAGATCTGTCTTAAGAGTCCTGTAAATGGAGACCATGCAGATGCAATTCAGTGTGACTGAAGAGGCCCTCAGGCTTCAGTCCTTTAGCAAGTTGACTCCTTTTCCTTAAACAAACCAACAAACAAAAAACGAGTGGGGACATTTGTTGGGCAGTCACCCTGGGATGGCATCCTGAAGGGGAAATTTAAAATACACTTTAAATCAAGTAGAAAATGTGACATGAGTGCATATTGTTATCACTTTATGTTTATTATTCACTGTCCATGAGGCCCTCTGCAGATGTGGAGGCCCCCAGAACCTGGCTGCTGTTTCTGAGTCACTCCTGATAATTTTCAAATGGACTATGTCCTTTTAGTCATGTTTTTTGCAAAACCGTGTTGCTCCCAAGGCGAACACTTTCCGTTTTGCGCTGTAATGAGAGTACTTTCATTCCTTTAATGTTTGCTTCTTTCCTTTGATCTAACAATTTCTGTCCAAATTTCACAGTTTTCTGTAGCTTCAGGATTGAAAGAACCGATTACCCTGCTGGGAGCGTGAAAAGGATTTAAAAAAATGTCTGCATGACATTTCCTCCCAGTGAAATTAATTTAGGTTTAAATACAGGAGGATGGCACACACCTGCTCCAGTCTTTCCCTCACACACCTAGGCAGTTCCTTATCCTGAAAGGACACAGTTGCACCTGCTGAAGAATCTTAGTCTTTTGTGGGGATCCTTTTCAAGGGGCAGAGGACCTCTTTCTTTGTGTAAGTCTGATGCCACCTTTGAAATGTCTCTATTTCTTTGAAGACCAGTCTCAGAAGCCCAATGGACTTTCTGGGCACAGCTCCTGCCAGTGGCTGGGGTACTTAGTGTGACCAGATTGGCTCCCTAGATGCCTTAGGAGACGCTTCTTTGGCAGGGCAGGGACCTCCGGCTCCTGAGCAACAAAGGATAAATTGGAGGTTGGTGGAAGGGGCACTCCCTAGCCTCAGTGGCATCCTGGCCAGCTTCTGCCCAGCACCTAGTCCTCAGTGACTCCGCCTTCACCTTCTGGATCCCCCACCCACCCCCCCTGTGCGGCTGCTCCAGAGCCCAGAGCTTGCTGCGAGTCCCACTACCTTCCTCCTAAGACCCCTCTAGCCCCTTCTAACCCGGGAAGCAGCGCTGTACACTGTTGCTCGGCCCGCCTTGCGTCCCTGGAGGTGTGCCCAGCACCTCGGGGCAAGCTCCCTGTCGGGTCGGTCCCCACCCTGTGGTCCTCAGCCTCCCACTGCTGCCAGGGGCGCAGGAGCTGTCAAGCCGGCGGAGCCGATTCAGCCGGGAGCGCCGGCGTTCCTCTCCTTCCTTTGTGTGCGCGAGCGAGCCGAGTTGGGGCGGAGGGAGAAGGGGGAGGTCGCTGTCTATCTGTCTCCCCCGCCTTTGCCCGGGCCGCTCGAAGTGCGGCGGCGGCGGTGGCGGCGGGATCCCGAGAGCCGGTGCGGGGAGCCGCGGGGCGCCCCAGGTTCCAGTCGCGCGCAGGGAGCGGGCCCGCGGCGGGGAAGGCGGGGACAGTGAGAGCGGCGGTCCCATCCTTCCGCCCCACCGCCTCGGCCTCGCTGCGCCCCTGCCACCCCGCCGCCCGCAGCGGAGCGCGCCCAGGCGCCGAGAGGGACGGCGAGCACGAATAAATAGCGGCGGCCGCAGCGCGTCATCTGGCGGAGCAGGAAGTGCAGGCAGAGTCCGGAGGCCGGTGCTTCCCGCGCGTCCCCAGGACTTTGCCATGGGCTGGGGGCCGCGCGGGCTGCCAGCGGCCGGCCAAGGGCAGCGGCGACGCCGCCCGCACTGGGACTGAGCGAGCGGAGACGCGCGGCGCCGAGATGGCAGCGTCCAGCAACTCCAGTCTGTCCGGCTCCTCCGTGTCCTCCGGTGAGTTTCAGCGTGCGGTCGCCCGTGCACGGATGGAGAGTCTACCTGTGGCCGTCCCGCCTGCTCTAGGAGAGCGGCGCGGGACAAGGACGTCCCGCGGGACACTTGTTAGGGTGGCCCGCATCCTGGTGCCTCAGCACCTCCGCTCCTGACCTATGACAGTGCAGCGGTGGGACGCGGTAGCATCCTAGGCATGCGGACCAGGGGTCTGGGGCTCCCGGAGAGCGAAAGCAGCAAGGCAGCCACGCACTTTCTGCACAGCTGGAGCAGGGACAGGCGGTGTCAGGGAGGTGAGGGCGAAGCCAGCCGCCCGACGTGCCTGCTTTGGTGCCTGCTACCATTGATACCCAGAGCCAAGGCAGAAGGGTGCAAACCCTTGCTCCTTGCAGACTCGGATTTCTTTGTTTGTTTCAGAAATTAGCTCCTTGGAGACACTCGCTTGGGGCATGGGTTTGAGAGAGCAGCCAGGAGAATGTACCTTGCTCTTACTGAAGTGAGATTGTGGAATGGAGGTCGAGCCCAGCCTCTCGGACTCCTGGCATGTTTATAGTGAGTGTGAGAGTGGTGTGTGTGTGTGTGTAAGAGAGAGAGAGAGAGAGAGAGAGAGAGAGAGAGAGAGAGAGAGAGAGAGAGAGAGAATGAGAATGAGAGGGGGGGTGTCTCTAGACATGTTCTTATACTACTCTGTAATTTTAGTTTGAGGGCTTCCGATTTTTTCCTGTATTAAATGTGGTTGGGTGAAAGAAGGGCTTTCAGCTTTTTTATGGTTGATCAGCAGGTCTAATTGAAGAGGGAAAAAAAAATGATAATGAACGTGAAGGCATAAGAATCAATGGAGGCAGCCCCACTGGTTTCTGAACATGACAGATTTCTAATCAGAATGATGCATTAGGCACAGTTCCATTCCCCTTTTGGTCATTGGAAACTTTAATAAGAAACCCTGAAGGGATGGCTGCTAAGACATTTGGTGTAGTACACAGAATTCTAGGGTCAAGACGGTCTTGAAGTCCTAGTGGGAATGCTCGGTATATTCGTATTGTACGTGCCCTGTTGGATTCTTTTTATTACTCCACAATTTAAACTCTGAGTGGAGGAGAGATCCAGCACTGAACAGGAAGGCAGGCATGAAAGGAACCACATCTATGGATGTGGAACTAATCAAATCCTAAACACAAGGTAGGACTGTGACCAAGGTGCAGTTGTGATGTGACACAAGGTGTTCTCCTGAAAGCTATCCACTATTTTGGGGGGGAGTAGGGTGGGTGGGTGTCAGGTTTAATTGCAGAGAAATGGCACTTCCTTTAATGATTGCTGACAACCAATAAAAACAGCATTGTTAGGTGTCCCATAGTGTGAGCTGCTGGCGGTAGCGGCCAGTGGGCAGAGCAGTCAGCTCCTATTAAGAACAGCAACAAGTTGACCGCCTGTGGTTTTAATTCTGAGAACTCAGCAAATGCTCCAGCTTATTTTTAGTACCCGCAAACCACTGCTGCTGCGTTTCAATTCATTTTGGTTGACTAACGCTGAATTTAAAATGCCGAGCCCTTGGCTTCCTATTAGCACATGGTTCTCCCTCTCCAAAGACTGCCCACTGGATGAGCTCAGGGGGAGAGGTAGCAAAGGGGCACACTGAGAAAGGACTAGGAGACAGGATCCTTGCAGGATACACTAGAGGCGTGGAGTACAGAGGCTGTGGCCTCTGAAATTTTGCATCTTGATATAGCTTAAGAGGTCTGATTGAAAAACCCTACCTCAGCCCTGGGAAGACTCTATTGCTCAAAGAAGCCAGGATAAGCTTTAGAGGGTGGTAATCGTTTTGTAGATAGGGGAGGCATGCTTACCCTGGCTTTCTTTCCTGTCTTACGGACTGCCGTTTTTAATCCTGTTGGAAACTGCATGAAATCAGAAATGCAAAGAGTGGACATCAATCTATTTACTACTTCATGCAAATCAACCTGACCTCTGGGCTTATACACCTTAGTTCCCCAATTCAGCACACACTTTGTCTTGCAAAATATGGAATCATAGTTCTTTTTAAGTACACTTACCATTGTGTGGATAATGAATAATTCAGAGGAGACAAGCAATTCACACCTGTGAGAGGTGTTGAGCAGGAAAGAATGGAGCCTGTTTCTCAGAGCAGCTGGGTTCTCTCAGGCAGAGGCCAGAGTCTGAGAAAGTAGGGCACTCTGTGAACCCATTAGTCACCAAGCTGGAGGGCCAACTGTGGGCCAGGCTTGAGCTTCGAGGCTTAGCAAGGGAGATAATTCTAGCTTTCTTTGTAGCTCCAAACATCTGAGATCATTGTGTTTGAATCCTGGCTCCACTGCTGACCAGTGAGGCATCTTGAGGTGGGTTACTTATTTTTCCTATCCTCAATTTCCTCATTAGGTCAGTATGCTGAGTTTTTGACCCAGGATCTAATGCCTAAGAGTGCTTGATAGATGCTGAAGGGATGACTCAGTGGTTATGGGCAGTTGCTGTTCTTCTGGAAGACCTGAAAGCTCACAGCAACCTGTAACTCTAGCTCCTGAGGATCTGATGCCCTCTTCTGGACTCCACAGAATACCTACATATGTAGTACACACACACACACACACACACACACACACACACACACACACACACACACACACACACACATTCTTTAAGAATAATAATAATAATAATAATAATAAAAGAATGCTTGGTGCAAACAGATTGTCTGCTTTGAGGAATGAAATGAAGGTGCTCAATGGCTCTAACCATAGGTGCTGAAATAAACTCAGCTGTTTCTTCCCTCATATGCCAAATTTGATCTTGAGTTTGGGCTCTATCAAAAAAACATTTATTGAGCATATTCCGGTTTCAGACATAGCTCCAGGCTTGCATTAAAAAGATGACTCAAGAATCCTCTTGAGAAGCAGCAGCAGAGATCGCCTGTGTTCTAGAGTGATACAGTACATGCTGCAGAGGACTGTGCAGGGCAAGGGAGTGATTGCCTCAGTCTGGACTGACTGGTGGAGGTGACACAAGGCTTGGGCATTGACGGATGACAGGAGCTTTCCAGAATCCAGGTAGAGAGAAAGGCATTTCAGGAAGATGGAGAACTTGAGTCCAGGCCTGGAGATGGGAAAGTCTGTGACTTTCCTTTGTGTTTCTTGGGGCATTGTCCTTTTCCCTGGTGGGTTGGACACCTCTTGGAGGCTTTGCTGGGATGATCCTGGAGTCTTAGGATGAACTTGGACCTCTGAGCCCTAGAAAAGGAACAGCTGACTTCTGCAGGGTCCCAGTATGGTCTAACCCTGTCTCCAAGGAACGGCTGAGAGGGAATGGAACTTGCTGGTGTTTGCAAGGAGGGAAACTGCAGTGATTTTCTCAGCATAAGCTCAAGGTTCTCCGATTGGAATAATCTCACTTACTCTTATTTAACCACAGCAGCCGGCCGGGTGTGTCTTTGTGTCTGTTACCTACTGACACATAACGAATGAAGTTATCAGGTTAACAGTCACTTGAAAATACATGTTCTGAGAACTCTTCAGAATTTTCTTCTGGAGGATTCAGTTATGTGTGAATGGAATTGGTATGCTTCTGTTTTCATGATGACTACTGATAATTAATTTTCACAATCCCCTAGATTGACAAGAAGGTTTGATGCCTTTTATGATTTTAAACCATCCACAGACACAGAAATCAGTAGCTTTAGGATTTTAATATAGCCTGTGGTACTTGATTATATCCAGAAATAAAGTGGCTGATTTGACAAACAGTTTTCTTAATAATCATGGGTCACATTTGCTTTTATAATTAAAATAAGAACTTTTCACATATTAGTAATGTGATTGCCAAATGGATAATTTCACAATCAAGAAAAGAAAAAAAAAAGGCAGCCCATGCAATGTAGTAAACAAATGAGATATTTTCTAGTAACTGAACAAGTTAGAATATTAAATATTAAAGAGACCCCCCTGGATAAGAATTTAACATGTTGAAAACATAAGCACATGATTATTAAAAGGAAGTTTATCATTTTTACAAAAGGAAAAAGGTAAAAATCAGCACAGTGTCCAACCTTAATGGAAATAACATTCTTGCACAGATTGAGGTATTTATTTATTGGATTTTACAGAGCAGTGTTGAAGGCATGGAGGTAGTGCTGTTTCTACTGTCCCTCTGGTGTTGACCATGGAAGCAGTAAGCAGAAATGTTTCTTACTTGTCATTGGAAGGGAATGCCCACAGACATACACAGTCTTCTATATCCTGCATATATATATATGCAGGGAAGGCCTGGACTTTGGTATGGCAACCACTAACATATGTGTAGTTAGGAGCTGCATGGATCTAGTGTCTGCCAGGGAACTGGGACAGAGGCAGTTATGTGTGGAAGACCTTGCTTTGCTTTCAAATGATAGCTGCTGGGAATTAGAACCATAATCATCTATATTATCAGGGAAGGTTGATTATCTGTTGTATTTTAAACCACATGCATAAAAATCGGAGTTGAAAATCACAATGAAATAATAAAAAGTTGCAAAATGAAAATTAACACTGAGGGAGAAACCATTCTCTCAGGTGAGGCACATCTGCTTTCCTGGTGGCCCTTTTCCATCACATTGCACTTAGTAGCCTTTACTGCCTACTTGTGGTAACTCAGATGAGCCCAACAGTTCAGTATCTGAGAGATTAATGACAGTCTTCTTAAATATATTTGTTATGGTTTTTTATCTTAAACCCAAAGGTCACAGTTTGATGGGCTGGTCACCAGCCCTGATCCTACTGGGAGGTGGTGGGACTTTGGGAGACAGGGCCTACTGAGTTGAGGGTATGTCTCTCCCCGCTCTGCCCACCAGGAGATGAACAAATCTCTGCCCGTTG